GTATAAACGTGATGTTTTATTTGCCCTTCTCCGTCTGCAGAGAACAAACCTGCAGAATGTTTTTAGAAATGTAGAAGCAGCACAAACAGTTCTTCTTGTGGCAGGAAACTGAACTTTACTGAAACTTCCTGTTGGACATGCAATTGTCAGATTAAATCATTGTTTGTGTTTCCGTTGTCATGGCGACAGTGTTTTGATGTTTGTCAGGTAGAATCCAGTAAGACGGGATCAGCAGGCCTACACGCTGCTGCAAACATCTGCAGGTACTCCAGTGTACTTCATGTCCCGCTCAACTTGTTAAAAACAGAAAAATGCGCTTTAATCGTATTTGTTTGATTTTAAAGAAAGGAACCTCTCAGACACCAGACGTTTTTATGGTTTATATTTTTCTCTTTTCAGCAGGGGAAAAGGAAATGTGCAAATTTGCATTTTTGACATTTATACCGAAAACACGAAGCTCTTTATTCTGCTTGAAACGGTTGAAATGCGTCTCTCTTCTCAGCACCATATTCACATAAACATTTCTCTCCTTATATAACGCTGCACACAGTCGTCACCTTAATAACAGAACAAAATGAAACTGCAGGTTGATCGGTGCAGCAGGCTGACAAAGACAGAGAACAGCTGAGACGCATCTTTCTTGTTCAGTGGAAACCAAATTGAACTGGGAATTTCCAAGTTAGACATCTCAAGACCGATCGCTGAAAACAACAGTGGCTGACAGCGATTTGGCAGGGAGCATTTTAAAAGAAGCTGAAACTAAGGCACCCTGAATTCTTAGCTATTTAGTTTTAGTCACATGGCGCTCTGCTTGAGGCACCACCAGCTTCAGGAAACCCCCCATCAGGCTTCCTGAAGTGGAACAATCAGAAGAGAGTGAAGGCATGGAAGGCAGGAAGACAAAGAAGAAGATCACAGAGACGGTTCGTGGTTGTAGTGAAGGAGGACATGCAGAGGGTTGGTGTGACAGAGGAGGATCCTGGGATAGCATGACATAGAAGCAGGTGATCTGCTGTGGCAACCTCTAAAGGGAAGCTGAGTGAGGCAGAAGCTCAAACAGTTTGTCTCAGAAAGGAAGTGCTGCATGAAGGGCCAGGATGACAAAGAAAAATGCAGGGCCGTCCCCTTTGTTGCCATCAGATCAAATAAACGAGAGTGAATGATACGAAACAACCAACAACCACAACAGTTTCAGGAGGTTACCGTCCTAAACTGTAAATCTCTGTGAGTACCACAGAAACGACGTTTCTGAGGCTCTCATTCACAGACTGTATATAAAAGATGCATGTACAGTCATGTGCAAATTTAGTGAGTCACTCTTTATTTTTTTAATATTTTGTTTCCAAGGAGACTTAATTGTAATTATTAAAGTGGTCTTGAGCAATAGTTCTCCAGGCTTTTTGAAGGTCTTTCAGTTTTTCTTTGGAAATTGGCTGCTTTTTTGTTCATTTTCAGTCCAGCCCTTGGACCTGACCTCATTTTGGAGGTTATTAAGCTACTCGAGTGTGATCTGCGGATCATTCCCAATTACAAAAATGCTCCTAACTCAGTGGATGA